GATACATTTCTTTTCTCAAAGGACTTGCAAATTTACAAAGAAGTGTTGAAAAAATGCCACACATTGGCAGATAATGTTTGCAAAAGACAGATCTGATGAAGAACAATATTTTTAGAATATACAAAGAATACTTAAAACTCAAGAGTAAGAAAATAACCTGATTTAAAGCAGGCCAATGACCTGAACATCTGTTCACCAAAGAAGATACACAGATGCAAGTATGCATATGAAAAGATGCTTGACATCATGTCATTAGGGAATTGCAAATTAAAACAACAAGTAGCTACCACTACATACCTAGTAGAATGACCAAAATTTAGAACACTGTCTGCACCAAAGTTTGCAAAGACATGGAGCAATAGTAACTTGTTCATTACTGGTGAGAATACAAAATGTGCAATCAGTTTGGAAGACAGTTTGGTGGTTTCTTACAAAAGTAACCATACTTTTGCCATAGGATCCACCAATCACACTCCTTAGTATTTTTCCAAAGGAGGTGAAAATTTATCTCCACACAAAAACCTGCACACAGATGTTTATAGCAGCTTTATTCATAATTTATCCAAAACTTGGAAACAAGATGTCTTTCAGTAGGTAAGTGGATAACTGTGTTACATCTGAATAATGGAATATTATTTAGAGTTAAAAAGAAATGCATTGACTTTGGGAGGCCGAAGCAGGTGGACTGCTTGAGGCCAGGAGTTTGAGACCAGCCTGGTCAACATGGGGAAACCCCAATTAGCCGGGCATAGTGGCGTGCGCCTGTAATCCGAGTTACTGGGGAGGCTGAGATATGAGAATCGATTGAACCTGGGAGACGGAGGTTGCAGTGAGCCAGTGCCACTGCACTTCAGCCTGGGCAACAGAGCAAGACTCCTCTGTCTCAAAAAAAAAGAAAAAGAAAAAAAAGAAAAGAAATGATCAAGCCGTGAAAAGACGTGAAGGAAACTTAAATGTATGTTACTAAAAAGCCAACCTGAAAATAATACATACTGTATGATTCCAACTGATGCAAGGCAAGCAAGCCAAAAATTAGGGCTTAGCCCAGGAAAGAATTCAAGTGTGAAGTGGTGGTGTTAGCAACTTTTATTGAAGCGGCAGTGTATAGCAGCAGCACGGGTAACTGCTCCTTGCTGAGCAAGGCTAACCCATAAGTAATGTGCCCAGAGTAGCAGCTCAGGGGCAGTTCAGCAGTCACATACCTGTTTTTAGTTACGTACAAATTAAGGGGGATTATGCAGAAATTTCTAGAAAATGATTGGTAACTTCGGAGTAGGTGCAGAGGAAAGAGGTCGATAATGTCCCGTCGTTGCCATGGCAACGAAAAACTGACATGGCGCTGATGGGCGTGTCTTATGGAGAGGTGCTTTAACCTCCTCCCTGTTTCTGCTAGTCTTCAATCTGGTCCGGAGTAAAGTCCCTGCTTCCGGAGTTCACTCCTGCCCCCTGCCTCACAACTAACTATATGACACTCTAGAAAAGGCAGTAACTATGGACACAGTCAAAAGATTAGCAGTTGATAGAAATTGGGTGGCAGGAAGGGTTGAAAAGGCAGAGCACAGAGGATTTTTAGGGCAGTGAATTTCTGTGATACTATAATGGTGAATACATGACATTATACATTTGTCAAAACCCATAGAATGCACAACACCAAGAATAAACCCTAATGTAAATTATAGACTTTCATTGATAATGATGTGTCAATGTAAGTTCAATTGTAATAAATATACTACTTTGGTGCTGGATGTCTATGGTAGGGGGACATTTTTGCCTCAATAGTTACAGTTGAAGTAAATGTTTGTGTTTCCCACATTTCATATGTAGAAGCTCTCATTCTCAATGTGATGGTCTTTGGAGGTGGGCTCTTTGGGTGATAATTAGGTTTAGTTGAGATCCTAGCAGATGGAGTCTTCATGGTGGGCATGATGGAACTGGTCCGTTATAAGAAAAGACCAGAGAGCTAGCTCTCTCTTTGCCATGTGAGGACATAGCAGGAAGGTAGCCATCTGTAAACTAGGAAAGGGCCTTCACAAAGAATCAACTCAGACCTCAGAACAGTGAGAGATAAATTGTTGTTGTTTAAGTCACTCAGGCTGTGGTATTTTGTTTCAGCAGCCCAAACTAAGACTGTTAATTAGATTAGAAATTTCCTTTTGGGAATGGTGTGTGTGGGGGAGTACCTTTGTTAAGTTTTTATATCAATGAGTTTGTAGGCTTTTCTTTTTTGCTCATTGACTAGGACAGTTTAAATAGCATGAGTGTGAAGGAGATTGTTGGTCATCTATTCAATGTCTATTCTCTGTTTTTTAATATGAGAACTCCTGATTTTCAGCCAACAACCCTGGAAAAAAAGCTAATATTTCTGACTTGTTAGGTGTGGCCATGGACTAAATTCTGGCTAATGCAAGGCAAGCCAAAGGTTTTATGATAGGTTTTAGGACACTAGAGTAAAAGAGAGCTGTTGTACATATGCTCTTTACCCTACTTTGATGTCCTTTTTTTCCATCCTACACCTTGGGTTGTGAGTATGATAGCTGGAACTTTAGTGGCTCTCTTGGATCCCAGGGGTAATTGAGGGGTGGCTGGAAGGAATCTGTGATTTTCTGGAGTTTCCATACACAAACAAGACCTGGATTTTCTGGGCTTCCCAGACTTCCACATCTTGACTTGCTTTAAATGGGAGAGAAATAAACTTGTTTCAGCCACTGTCATTTTGGGCTATTGTATACAACGTAATCTAATCCTCAGGGTACATGAATTGCTTTTGCTTAAAAAAAAAAAAAAATCAGCCATAAAATCATCTTCTTTCTTTTTTCTTTTTCTCCCCATTATTTAGTTGGAGCTCTGTAACTTTTTTTTTTTGAGAAAAGGTCTTGCTCTGTCACTTAGGCTGGAATTCAGTGGCGTGACCGTGATTCACTGCACCCTTGCCCTCCTAGGCTCAAGCAATCCTCGTGTCTCAGCCTCCTGAGTAGCTGAGACTAAGGCACATGCCACCATGCCCACCTAATTTATTTTCTTTTAGAGATGGGGGCCTTGCCCAGGCTAGTCTCAAAGTCCTAGCCTCAAGTGATCCTCCCATCTCAGCCTCCCAAAGTGACAGGATTACAGGTGTGAGCCACCATGCCTGGCCGCTCTGTAAGTGTCTGAATTTCATTTTGTATTTATTCATCTGTTTATATTTTCTTTCCCCTCTTGGGTCAGTTAGGCCATTTGTTTCTTTTTAAAAAGTATTTTAATCAAAAGTTTTCAAATTTATTTGCATCTAATTCTTCAAATTACTCTCAAAATTATTCTAGTATATATTCTTTTGTTCCTTTTTTTCTGTATTCTTTATTAGAATAGCTAATGATCTATCTAGCAGTACTTATATTCTTTCCATAGCTTTCCTGCACCCCAATTAATGTCCAATTTGTCCAATTTTATCTTTATTTTGGCCTTCTTTATGGGTTCCACAGGTTTTTTAAAACATTTATTTAATTAAATGTTTATTTTGTTATCATCCTTTCTTATTCAGCAATCTAAGTGCGTAGTGATATAGAATTTCCTCTGAGTAGCATATGCTAGACTTTGACAATGTTAGGGAGGCCTCCCCTTTCTGGGGAAGACCACACTTAGATAACACAGGACTGTGGGACGCCAAGAGGTAGAGAAGAGCTTATGAATATCCAGATTACATCTTCACTGATCCTGCACAAAGTTGGGGTTCCTTGGTTACCCACTGGGTCCTATTCCCCAAGTCTGGGGCAGCATACTCAGACTACAGGGATATAGAACAAGTAAGACTGGGGGATAATCCTTCTGTTGGGGAGAAAAATCTTTTTTTTCTATTCATCTTAGGTTCTCCATCATTGGCCCTATAAAGTAGTCTAACAAAAGACAGATTGACAAGACAGAAACAAAGAGAAGTTTATTAACATGTGCATTGCACAAACACAGGGGAGTACTGAGATGAATACTCAAAAGAGGATTTAGAACTTGGGCCTATATAGCATTTTAACAAAACAATACATTTTTTAAGTGACAAGGAAGAGGAAAAGGACTTTGAGTTACTAGCGCAGTAAATTGTGGGAAGGCAACTTTTTCTTTCCCTTTTTTTTTTTTTTAAAATAAGACTTCTCTGGTACTATGTCCAGGCTGAGAAGAGTCTAAAGTCTCTGGTGACTAACCTTTGTTCTGCCTGGAGTAGGAGGATGGCTTCACAATTTCATATCCTGCTTTTAGGCAAATAGGGAGAGCGCAGAGGTGTTTGTTTGTTTTTAATCTATTTTTTTCTCAATTGTCTTCAGCTCGAAATACTTATGCTAAAGATGGCATATTCTGCTACCCTTCATTTGCGAGTTACAACCCAGCCTCTATCATCATCATTAGAACTTCTGACCCTGGGGAACATGGGCAATAGTCTGAACTCTTTTATGTCTTCCCTTAGGAAGAGATGGAGGCCCAGCCATGCCTCTGACATCTAGACACAACTGTTGCTTCATTTCTCCTATTCTCAGAGGTGATGCCATAGGACCTCAACAAATATCAATAAGCATTAATTTTTTTTTTTTCCTTGAGGCACAGCACAATCTTGGCTTACTGCAACCGCTGCCTCCCAGGCTCAAGCAATTCTCCTCCGTCAGTCTCCCGAGTAGCTGGGATTACAGGCGCCTGCCACCATGCCTGGCTAATTTTTGTATTTTTAGTAAAGACGGGGGTTTCACCATGTTGGCCAGGCTGGTCTTGAACTCCTGACCTCAAGTGATCCCCGTGCCTCAGCTTCCTGTAGTGCTAGGATTACAGGCGTGAGCCACCACACCTGGCCATCAATTTTTATATCAACTCTAAATTATAACATTTAGCAATTTTGTGACTTTTTATGGTCATCACTAATGTTGTTTATGTTTTAGTTGTAGTCCTGTCATTACCCACTCAGGTATGGTAATTTGGTCTTTTTCAAAATGAAGTTAAGGTCTATTTGATCTTCTCTGAATCATAATGAGAACTACCAACAGTCATTTCAGCAATAACTATTTACTGAGATTTTAAAATATTTCAAGGTAACTGGTCCTAGCAGACTGGAAAATACCAACTTCTTTTCCAGAACTGAATCCCCCTTCCAAGTTCAGTTTTACTCATAATTCCCTTTTCATTTGAAGCATCTCATTGTAAGCCATTCTTAACCCTTCTCTCACACTTTGCTTGGCTATTTCTCAGGTAGAACTCAGTAAGTCTGGTAGCCTCCAGGACTGCTGCTTAGATTATTAAACAACACGTCAGTGGTTGGAAGAGTCAACGTTATTTTGATTTTCCTGTTTGGTTTGGTTTGGTTTTAAATGCAGTTGGCGGATAATTGCAGCTTTCTTTCATTCCCCACATGAGTTCAAATGGCAGCAAACAAATGAGGAACACGCAGACCTTCTGACCTGTGGGTACCACTACTCATCACCTGAAGACCCTTGGAAATCAAAGCCCTGACCCATTAAAGACGGATAGAGACAGCAATGTATGATCATTGCTATTATCTTGCTTTGCCCCAGTCCAGGTTAACCATCTGTGGTATTTTTAGTTTCTAAGTCCATATATTCAACATAAATCAATTATATATCCACTAAAATCCCAGCACTATTCTAAGTACTAAGGAAGTGACAGCGAAGAAAACAGACCAAACGTCTGCCCTTATGGGATTTATATTATTTTCTCTGTGCTGGTTAAACCAAGGAGCTTCTGCTCTTTTCCTTAGTCATCTGGGAGAGGCAGAAACAAAGGAGAATATTGATAAACCTGGAAATAGGGCCGGAGAGTATCAGAGAAGGAAGCCTTTGGGAAGGTAAAGATGTGGCAGCCAGTAGTGCCATTGTAAAAGGATACAACTCCGGCCTCATAGTCCAGAAAAACTCCCACAAGCAGGGGATGCTCATGCAGATGAAGGGAAGTTGGGGGAGAAGTAAGTGCTACATAGCCTTTCTTTCTGCACAGCCTGAGGGTCCAGAATCCAGACTGAGGCTCTTGCTTCATGCCAGTGCCCCTCTGCACATTTTCCATACAAACTCCTAAATCCCACCCGGTTCCTTCGCCAACATCCACTTCAAAGTAGCGTCTCCCTGAGGTGAAGCCTTCAGAACCCAAGACACAAGGGAAGGCAGTAAATCTCCTGGAAGATATGTTCTGATTCTCCTGGGTGTATCCACGAGTCACTTGTCTCCGATCCTCAGAGAGAATTAGTTCATGATGAGCTGTATCTGGATCCAGAGTCACATTCACTGCAAAACAAAACAAAACAAACAAACAAAAATACTTTTGTTGGTGTGAAGAACGCAAGTTATTTTAGTTTATTTTTTATTTTTTTGAGACGGAGTGTTGCTCTGTCACCCAAGCTGGAGTATACTGGCACTATCTCAACTCACTGTAACCTCCACCTCCCAGATTCAGGCAATTCTCCTGCCTCAGCCATCTGAGTAGCTGGGACTACAGGTGTGCACCACCACAACTGGCTAATTTTTTAAAATTTTCTGTAGAAATGGGGTTTCGCCATGTTGACCAGGCTGGTCTCAAACTCCTGACCTCAAGTGATCCACCCGCCTCAGCCTCCCAAAGTGCTGGGATTACACAGGTGTGAGCCACCATGCCCAGCCACAAGTTATTTTCAATAAAACCAGCCTGTGTTCAAACCCAAGTATTGTTTCTTATAAACTGTGTGAGCTTAGGCAAATCATTTAACTCTCTGAGCCTCAGTTTGTTAACTATAAAGTGGAAATTACCATAGTTGTTGCAGAGAATGGTGGGTAGGATTGAACAAGCTTATGTTTGCTTAATGCTTGGTAAAATTCCTGGTACATGGTAAGCACCTAGTAAGTGGTAGTTGTTGGGGTGATTGGACCCGACACCAGGCCGTGGGGGCTACAAAGTCCGGCAAGGTCAAAGGTATGAGAAAAGACAAGCTAAGAGTGCATACAGTGGGTCCAGCAGGCCAGCGCTAGATTGGAGGCTATGAAGGCCCTGAGCTCTGGGAGTCCACACTATTTATTGGGGATCAAACAAAGAAGCAGGTGGTGAGGATGTGAGGGTAAACAGGTGAGGGCATGAGGACATGGGGGTAGAAAGGTAGTGGTGCATTAAGTGTAGCTGTGATGGTTTAGCATTTTCTTTGACACGTATAGAATATGGTCTGCTGCTTGAGATAATGGAGGACATGTTTATGAGTAAGAAGCAAGGAACCAACAAGTCTGTGCACATTCCAGAGGCTATGAGGGGTTTTATGCTCTGAGCCCTGGGTTCCATCCAAGCCACAAGGGGTTTTAGGCCCTGGGCTTAGATTTGTGGTGCGGCAGGGCAGCCTTCCACCTTTTGGCACAGAGTTTGGTGTTCCAAAGGCCACGAGGGGTTCTGGACCCTGGATCCCAGACACCTTCCAAGACTCTTTTACATTATGACAGAGAACCAGTCCTACCTCAGCTCTTCTAGCAACATGCAGTAATAATGATATCGACATCATCTTCGTCTTAGTTATTCAGGGATGCCAAGGTACAGAACTAACCAGTTAATATGGTTACCATCCTGTCCAAAGTTCTTCTCCCATGCAGGACTTCCAGGAATCATGAAACAGTTAAGCAGAAAGATACCTTTTCCTTTCTCTACTGAATAACCACCAACATTGGGAATCAGAGAAGGAAAATGACTCAGCTAATGTCTTAGCTTGTTATTGGAAGACCCAGGTCTCATGACACACACCTAGTCCCATGACTTTTAATTGTAAGCTCTTCTCTTTCCCCTCAGATAATGTTCCATAAGCATTAGTATGAGATAATAATACACTGAGGACCAATATACATGAAAAATATCAGACTAGAATCAAACAAGACAGAAAAAAACTCTGATAACCTAAAGTGAGATACTGGACAGTATGCAGTTTTAAAAATAAAAAATGGTAATAGGATATTCTAACAAGAGAGTTAAGAAACCACCGTGCTACTGAGTTAAATATTGCTCAGTTGGTCTGTGACAATTAAGGAATTCAAGTATTCAGAAACATCTCCTGTGCTGGATGCTCTGTTTGTTCTTCCAAATCATTCCCTCACTTTTCCCTGTCGTGCTCTGTGCCCGGGAAGGCTGACGTGGACACATTAACCAGGCTTTCTGCCCTCTGGCTTCTGCTTGGTTCAGCCAATGGGAAGCACCAGAGGAGACCATAGGGCACAAAGCAGCAGCCTTGGGAGTATTCAGTACCCCAGTCCCATGCCACTGGCTATGATTTGGAGGGTCTGCATTCCTCTGCCTCTGGGCATGCTCTTGTATAGTTACAGCTCCCTACACCTGCCACTTGAGGCCCAGAGGAGGTGATGGTTCTCTAACTGTTCCTAGCTCGATGGCTCTCTAACTGTTCCTAGCTCTGGGTGCTTCCTGTTCCTTGTGGATTTCCCAACTCCTCACCTTTGTAAATACCCTCTTTTTCAAACTCTATTCAGTCAGCTCTTAATCAGCCTGACTCACAGAAGTTTGGGGTTTCAATTCATATTACCTGAATGACCCAGGAAAACCCATGTTGAGAAATTAAAATGTTTACAGGGTGGTAATACCACTTAAGAGAAAAAATATCGATTGGATTTTTAAAATTCCACCTATCTATTGGTGTGACACATAAACAAAAACATATAGAAAGATTGGAAGTTAAAAGATAGATAATATAGTCATATACTGTTGTAGTTATGTAAGTATATCAAAAGATACTAAGTCAGAGCATTATTAAGAATGGAAGGAGGGCCGGGTGTGGTGGCTCACGCCTGTAATCCCAGCACTTTGGGAGGCCAAGGCAGGAGGATCACTTGAAGCCAGGAGTTCAAGACCAGCCTGCCCAACATGGTGAAACTCTGGCTCTACTAAAAATACAACAATTAGCTGCGCATTGTGGCACATGCCTGTAATCCCAGCTACTTGGAAGGCTGAAGCACAAGAATCACCTGAACCGGGGAGGCAGAGGTTGCAGTGAGCTGAGATTTCGCCACTACACTACAGCCTGGGTGACAGAGCAATATTCTGTCTCAAAAAAAAAAAAGGGAAGAATGAAAGGAGTCACCTAAAAAAGATAACACAATTCTAAACGTGAATGCACTAGTAATATAGTGCATTCATGCTTAAAATTGTGTTAATATACAAAGCAAAAACTGTAGAATTATAGGAGAAATTGAAAAATCTACAATCATCATCGGATATTTTAACATTCTTCTTTCCATAATTGATAGATCAGGCAGATCAAAAGAAAAAATTAAGGGAAGATATGGAAGGTCTGAACAATCTAAGAAGCCCAATCTCATAGTCAATACATAAAGCTCAGTAATTGTTTAATAATAGTAAGCAGAGAATATGCAGTTTTCTCAGGTACAGATAGAACATGTGCTGAGTAAATAATAGTCAAAAAACAGTCTGAACAAATTTCAATAAATCTGTATTACACAGATCATTTTCTCTAGTCTCAATATAAGATTATAAACCAATAATAAAAAGACAACTAAAAAGATTCTAAATATTAGGAAATGTAAACTACTAATAAATCATTAGAAGACATATAGAATGGAACAATAATGTTATTGTTGTTGACATATAGAATGGAAAATGTTATTTATAAAAATATACAATGGAGCTAAAGCAGAATTTTAAGGAAAATTTGTAGGCTTTAAATGCTTATCTTAGAAAAATTAAAAAACTGAACATTAATGAGCTAAGCATCTAATTTAAATGTTCAGAAGAACATAGAAAACCCAAATATAATTTTTTAAAAAGAAAAAATAGATACTAAACAATGTAACAGTGAAGTTAAAACCAGAATGCAATAAAGAGGAAAAAAAAAAAAAAGTAGCATCTTTAAAAAAAAGTAAATAAAATAGACGTACCTCTAATGAGATTTATCAAAGTAAGAAGGCACAAATGGAATGAATACAGAAAATTTTTAAATGCTACAGAACTTTATAATAAATCTTATGCTACTAATAAAATTGAAAGCATTGACAAAATTAATACTTCCTAGAAAAAATATTTCTGAGTAAAACTTGTTCAAAAAACAAAGAAAACATGGGCAGACCTAACATTAAAGAAATGAAATCACTACTTTAAATTTTACCAGCAGATAATAAAACATGCATCTTTATCAAGCAAAAATGGATTTTGTCAGTTTTATAGGAAATTTAGAAGTCAAGGCATGAGTAATGACAATCTCATACCAAATCCTCCAAAGAATAAAAAATTATGGCACCAGCTTATAGGCAGATATAGAACTCCTGCACAAAATAATATAAATAATAACAAATCAAATTTTATATATGCATCTATACATATTATATGTATATGTATTATATATGTTAACATATACATATATATGTATAGCATATGTTCTACATATTATATATGTATAGTATATGTATTTTACAATATATAAATGAAAACTGAATGTTTAATATATTCATTTATATTGTCATATATGACATATATAATACGTTACATCAAAAACATGTACAATAATCAGGCCAGGCACAGTGGCTTATGCCTGTAATCCCAGCATATTGGGAGGCTGAGGTGGGTGAATCACTTGAGTCCAAGAGTTTGAGACCAGCCTAGTCAATATGGCCAAACTCCATCTCTACAAAAAATATGAAAAATTATCCTGGCATTGTGGTGCACACCTATAGTCCCAGCTACTCAGGAGGCTGAGGTGGGAGGATCACTTGAGCCCGGGAGGTGGAGGTTGCAGTGAGTCGAGATTACACCGCTACACTCCATCCTGGGTGGCAAAGGGAGACCCTGTCTCAAAAAAAAACTAAAAATTAGCCAGGTTTTGTGGCCTGTGCCTGTGGTCCCAGCAACTGGGGAGGCTGAGGTGGGAAGATCACTTTAGCCCAGGTGGTCGAGCCGTGATCGCACCACTGTACCACTTGGCTTGGACAACACAGTGACAGCCTGTCTTGAAAAAAAAAGGAAAAAGAACATATATATATATATATATATAAAAACACACACACATACAGTAATCTATATATATATATTATATGTACAAATCAATGCTTGACTTTTTATATATAATATATATTACATATTATTAGATATATAGTATTCATTCTCTATAGAAAGATAGATAGATACAGATATAGACATAGTATCCTCTCTCTATCTATATTAGAGAGAGGATACTATATATATATCTATAGTATATAGAGACTTGCTGTCTCAAAAAAATTTAAAAATCAGCCAGATATGGTGGCCCATGCCTATAGTCCCAGTTACTGGGGAGGCTGAAATGAGAGGATCGCCATTGATCCTCTCATTGGTTGAGCCATAATCGCACTGCTGCACCACTCAGGTTGGGAGATGGAGCGAGAGCTGAGGTGGGAGGATATAGATATAAACATACAAATAAATATATATAGAGAGAATACTATATGTGTGTGTGTATATATATATTATGAAGACACTGGTGGGATGATTTCATTACCAATTGGACCAAAAATCCAGGTGTGGAGTCAACATGCGATGTTGTTGTTGACTGAGCTGGCAGAGCACTGGTCATAGTTACGGGAAAAGAAGGTCTCCAATGAAACATACTTAATAAAATATATGAACTTGCTTTCCACGTAGAGAGTTCTGGTGTGTATGTAGCCTCCTCTCACTAACCTAGCAATTGTCTTCATCATCATTATAATGCTATCAAAGCATAGATGACAGCTAAATTTTTTTGTCTTTTTCTTCTTCTTCCTCTTCCTCCCCCTCCTCCACCTCCTTCTTTTCCTCCTCCTCCTTCATCTCCTTTTTTTTTTTGAGATGGAGTCTCACTCTGTCACTCAAGCTAGAGTCCAGTGGCACAATCTCAGCTCACTGCAACCTCTGCCTTCTGGGTTCAAGCAATTCTGCCTAAGCCTCCTGAGTAGCTGGGACTACAGGTACACACCACCACACCTGGCTAATTTTTGTGTTTTTAGTAGAGATGGGGTTTCACTATGTTGACCAGGCTGGTCTCGAACCCCTGCCCTCAAGTGATCCTCCCACCTCGGCCTCCCAATGTGCTGGGATTACAGGCGTGAGCAACTATACCTGGCCCCCTCCTTTAAGAGACAGGGTCTAGCTCTGTTGCCCAGGCCGGGTACAGTGGTGTGATCATAGCTTACCGCAGCCTTGAACTCCTGGGCTCAGGAGATCCTCCTGCCCTAGTCTCCCCAGTAGATGGAACTACAGGTATAACACATGGGGCTAATAAAATTAATTAGGTGATAAAATTCACTGCCCACTGATGACTAAGCTCTTTGGAAACAGAAGACACAGACTTTGAAGGAAAATGTGTCTACTTAATTTTGAAACCCTATTTATCATAAAACAGGATGAAAATGCAAAATGCCATTCACATGCCAGAAGACATCAGCCATAATAAGTTCCCATAAATCAATAAGGAAAATAACCCCATAAAAATTATTAAACCACAGTAAATCATGGGTAAATCACAGAAGCCTGAAGGGCTAATGGACAAAAAGAATCTCAGTCTCACTACTGAAATCAGAAAAGCACAAATTAAGTACACAATTAGGTACCCTTTTAAATCTGTAAGACTATCAAAATCATAAATTATATAAGTAAAGACTCAGGGAGTTTTGGAGGAGTGAGAGCTCTTATATTGCTGGTGGGGTAGAATTGGAACAATTTCAAGATCTGTAGTATCTGGTAAAATTATGATGTGCATCCCCCACACCAGCATGTCACTCCAAGGTATCTCCCTGGAGGAAACATTCACAGGACACAAAGAAGCATGGATAAGAATGTTCACAGTAGTATTGTTTGCAACAGCAACAACAAAAAAACCCAACTCTACACACAGCCTCAATGCCCAGTCCACAAGGCAGTGGATTAAATACACTTCAGGCTGGAGATGGTGGTTTGTGCCTGTAATCCCAACACTTCGGGAGGCTGAGGTGAGAGGATTGCTTGAGCCTGGGAGTTCAAGACCAGCCTGGACAAAATAAAGAGATATTGTTTCTACAAAAAGAAAAAAAAAAATTAAAATTAGCCAGATGTGGTGGTGCTTGCCTGTGGTCCCTGCCTGTTGTCCCAGCTACTGGGGAAGCTGATGTGGGAAGATTGCTTAAGCCCAGGAATTTAAGGCTGCAGGGAGCCATGATGGGGCCATTGCACTCCAGCCTGGGAGACAGAGTAAGAACCTGTCTAAAAGAGATAAGTAAATAACACTTTGTATTTTCTGCCACATTGCAGAATGGTAAGAGAGTGCTTTCTAGACTCTAGACTCTTTCTACGCCTACCTTCTAGTTATGAGATCCTACAACACTCACTTAACCTCTCTCTGTCATATTTCCTTATCTATAAAGCAAAAATGCCCCATATAGAGAGGACTGTGATATAATAAAACAAAAACCAAGAAAAGTAAAGCTTTTCTAATCTGTTACAGACTAAAAAAGTGTTCAGTATATGTGGGTCATTATTCCTGGTGCTGGTAGGAGTTATGTTACAACTTTGAGTCAAGTAATATGGTACCATATATTAAGATTAACAACAACCTCAGCAATCCCGGTTTGGGGTATGTTCCCAAAAGAAATGAAAGTACCAGGATAAAAGGGTGCATGGACTAGAAAGTTTTTGTAGCAACGTTGTAATAACTAAGTTCTAGAAACAGCCTGAAGCTCCATCAGTAGGGATATGGTTACATATATTTATTATATACTTATGGAATATTAGACATAAAAAAGTAATGAGTAACATAGAAGAGACAGATTATATGTATTACATGTTTGTACAAACTTAGGGAAAGATATAGGTTACCCTACCTAGAGAAGTCAGATTGGAGAGGGGTGGGAGAAACCTTGAACTTTCTGTTTATATTCTTTATATTGTTTGACTGATTAAAATTTATTTGTTGCATCTGCTTGAAGGCAATGTAAAATAAAATAAACATACATTTAAAAATAAAAATAAAATTTATTCATATCACTTTTGTAATAAGAGAAATTTTAGGCCAGGTGCAGTGGCTCACACTTGTAATCCTAGCACTTTGGGAGGCTGAGGTGGGCAGATCACGTGAGGTCAGGAGTTCAAGACCAGCCTAGCCAACATTGTGAAACCTCATCTCTACTAAAAATACAAAAATCAGCCAGGGGTGGTGGTACGTACCTGTAATCCCAGCTACCCTGGAGGCTGAGGCACTGGAACCCGGGAGGCAGAGGCTGCAGTGAGCTGAGACTGTGCCACTGCAAGCCAGCCTGGGCAACAGAGCGAGACTCCATCTCAAAAAAAATTTTAAAAAAAGAAAAATTTTAATAAACATTGTTTAAGAGGGGAGAAATATTTAGTTAAAAGATAAGCCCATTTAAGAAATAGTTTCACTTGACCCGGAAGGTGGAGCTTGCAGTGAGCCGAGATCACGCCTCTGCACTCCAGTCTGGGCGACAGAGTGAGACTCTGTCTCAAAAAAAAAAAAAAAAAAGAGTTTCACTTGAACCGTATTATTATTCCTTCTGTAAAAGATGAGAGTAGGCAAATTAACTCAGTGAAATCCCAGCAAAACTTACACAAAGTCTTGTTCTTCCTTCCTGTCATCTGTATAGGATGAAATACAGAGTGCTTTTGGGTTTTGTTGTTGTTTGTTGTTGTGTATTTGAGGGGAACACAGGTCTATAATTCCTTATCTGAAATCCCTGGAACAAAATGGGCTTTGCAATTCAAATTAGTTTAGAAGTTATAAAGGCAAAAAAAAAAAAATGCATATACTCTAAATTTCAACCCCATCAGGGCCTAAGGCAGAGCCTTGTAATCAAATTCATCAATATATCTGCAGCAAAACATTTATTCAAATTAAGTGGGATAAATAAAGACTTTTAAATAGTCTCATCTCAGTGCAGTTCAGGGTTGGCCACTGTGGAAGACAGACTCAAGGGTGGCCTTCTATGATTGCTGCCTCTTAGTGTTCACACTCTCATAAAATTCCTTGTCTTTGAGTGTGAGAAGGGCTTATGAATTGCTTTTGACCAATAGGATATGGCAAAGATGATGGAATATAATTTCTAAGATTACATTTCATTATGACTCCATCTTGCTATCAGATTTTCTCTAAAGAGTCTGTCTCCTGAGCTCTCTCTGAAGAAATAACTGGCCATGTTAGACGCCCGTGTGCAAAGAGCTGCGGGGTGGCCTGTAGAAGCTGAGGGCAACCTCCAGCCAATAGCCAGAAATAACCAGGGCCCAAAATCCTGCAATCATCAGGAAAGAAATTCTGCCTGCTACCTCAGTGAGCTTGGAAGTAGATTCTTCCTCAGCCTAGCCTCCAGGTAAGAACACAGCGTGACCAGTATCTTAACTGCAGCCTTGTCAGACCCTAAGCAGTGGGCCCAACTAAGCTGTGCCCAGATTCCTGAACCACAAAAATTGAGATAATATATGGGTGTTGTATTAAGGTTCTAAATTATGGTAATTTGTTTGTACTAACAGATAACTAATATAACCACCAAATAATTTCAGGTTAGGCCACATTTTTGCAGCCCAATGAATCATGATAAAACTTTCCATTTTCAGGGATTTTTTGATTTTGTACTTATGAATACAAATTTGTGAAATTATGGTCAGTACTGATTTAAAAAAATCAAGGGAGCAGGAAACTCAGTAAATGGTTCTAACATTTCAGAATCTGTAAATTGGTTGTAACATTTATCATCTGTGTTATCTAAGTCAAGTTCCTAAAATATGTGAATGATAGGCTGTCATACTCACCTACCTTTCTTGCATTGCTCTAAGAGTTGACTGATCTATTAATAAGAAACACTATGATCAGATCTAATACCAGGATGTGGTATTATGATCATCTATCAGTTACGGTGCTAAGCACTTTGTACATGTTGATGCATTTAATTTTGATGACAACTCAATGAAGTGGGGGCTGTTAATATTTTCATTTTTCAGAGGGGAAAACCAAGTCACTTGGAGTAACATGGGTAATAAGTGAAAGAATAAGAATTTGAAAGGTTCGTGCAGATAACCAGAATGCAATGCTCACTCACATCTAAGCAGTGAATCATACTAACTAGAGAAGGTATGAAGGCGCTACTGAAATTAACTAAACAACCTCTCTGGCTGTGAGCCTGCTGAGGGACAGGTGGTAAACTTGGTTACTGCATAAGGCCCCTTCCATCCACAGTATTTAGGAATTCTTTAGTGCACATACCTCGATGACTGCTTAACATTTTCTTCACATCAAAGTAAAGCTCAGAAACGTTGCACATAGTATGAAGTTCCAAGGAGACGGCCTCTGATGTTTCCAGTTTCACAGCCCAACTCCTAGAACAACCAGAGGCCAGAGATTTCTTCAGAGGTGCATTCCATCCAGTTCTATATACACACGCCCCTCCCCTCCTGCATTCATACAGGACTTACCTGCTCAAAGTGTCATTCACATTCTATAACGAAACAAAAAGAAAAGGTGAGCATGGGAACATCAGTATTTCATGGGGCTTGTCATGCAGGGCTATTCTTCTTTGCTTTTCCCAAAGAAGTAAAGAGAGTTACCCTGGTCTTAGATATTGATGGATACCCAAATAGAGTAATTCCCACAAGTCTTAGATGTTGATGGATACCCAGATGGAATAATTCCTACCAGCTTCTCGGAGATTCAGCATGGCAGGATGTTTATCAACATTGGCATCTATTCTCATCCTTGCTGAAGCATGAGGGCCAGGAGCTTTGTCCATGCTCCCTCTGTCAAGACTAGCTTTTGGTGATCGGATTTCCTTCACAGTGAGCCCAGATTAGAGAACACATATCATAAAGGTCCTTAGCGATGAATCTGTGCACAGCCCTGAGACTGGGCCACTAAGATGGTGGCAACAGGTATCACACAGTGGTAAAGCAATCATGCTATACACTCAACCTTACAGTATAGTCACCAATCCTGTTAGTTAGAACCAGAATTAATGGCTCCAGATGTTTATCTTCATACAGATAGAGCTGTAGATTGTACCATAACAGCTCTGGAGCAAGGGTTCTACAAGCAAATCAGGGAACAGGTTATCACTCATTTTGGCTGCCCCACTTCATCACCCATCAGTCACCTAGCAGAGTATTTCAGGAGAGAGTTGACAGCCAGGTTCTGTGCACATGGGCCAAGGAGACAAACAGTGGTGGATGTTATCCCATGGTTCCATTTGGCCAAGCTATGTTCCCTCAGAAGTTTATTTTTCTAATTGACATAAAGGTACCCCATAGATTAGTGAAGGCTAGCCTGATGGCACTGATGTATATCTAAAAGAAACATTACTCTATCTTCCCATGCTTCATTATCATTCTCCTTTAATAGCACAATAACATACCTTTTTTCCCTACTCCAAATAAACAGCCTCACCTGCAGCAATTTTTGGGCTGAGCCCTGACATTTTTCCTCCAGTTCCTGAATATGGCTCTTGAGTTCATTGCTCTTCAGCCCCAGACCAACCTCATAGTCCCTCAGTCTACTCAGAGTCTGTTGTTCTTCTTTCTCCAGTCTCCAGAGATAAGACTTCTCTTCCTCATGTAGGAAACACTGGAGATTCTTAAAGTCAGACTGGATTTTTTGTCTCTGAATCTGTACCTTCTCCTAGAGTCAAGAAAGTATGGTCAAAAGGTGGAAATAAACCAAATGTCCATCTATGGATGAATGGATAAACAACAATGAAAGTCTGACACACGCTACTACATGATAAGCTTTGAAGACGTTCAAGCAAAATAAGCCAGAAACAAAAGGGCAAATATTGTAAGACTTTGCTTATACAAGGTATATAGAATAGTTAAGTTCATAAAGACAGGAAGTAAAATAGTGGTTACAAGGTGTTGACAAGATGGAAAAACGAGTTATTGTTTAATGGGTAGTGAGTTTCAGTTTAGAAGATGAAAGATGAAACTGAGCTGCAGTTTGGAAATGGGAATGGTGATAGTTGCACAACAATGTAACAATGTAAAAGCACTTAATTCCACTGAACTGTATACTTAAAAGTGGTTAAATGCTTAAGTGTTATATATATTTTCACACACACACACACACACACAATCAGCCACTGGGACATTATTTTCTCATGAGTCACTGAAGCTGGAAGAATGTCCCCAGTTTCCTGCTGCAGGGTCATATGTGGGAGGCAGGCACTCAGACGTGGAAGAGGTTGTCTCAGATTCCTTATAGTCACCCAATTAATTTCCTTATTCCTCAGCCAAGACACAGGAGAAAGCTGGGTTAGGAGTGCTAGATAACTTAATTATGAAACTAGGGCCAAGTTCAAACACTTTATCAGTTACAAGGATAAAAATAAATTTTTACTTGTGATTTAAGAAGTTAGGTTTCTGAGTCTGAGTGATTTTCTTGAAGTAAAAGCTTATAATGAACATTACCAAGACTGGATTTTAAGACAACCAGGCTGGTAAGAGGGTCCATAATTCTTGGCAGGGGGAGCTCTGAGTTTGGCAGGTATTTATTATGGTTAACTGAGAAATATTTTTCTACTACCCTAGGGTCATCTTAAGCATTCCTATGTGTAAGACTGACAGAAATCAAGTGAAAGTCTCATCTGAGGAGATGTAAAGTTGCAATTTCCATTAATGCTGTCTAAATTAATGCAGTGGGAGTATGTATTCAGAGCAACTTGAATCTATGTTCTCGGACTGCAGTCTTCAAACATGGCCCAAATAAACTCTCTACTTATCTTAAAAATATAAAAATTAAAAAATAAAAATAAATCCACACAGTGTTTCGATGACTACGATGTAGAAGAAGGGTCTTTGACTTAGGATGAGGTGGAATTTTTGTGTAGGAGACAGGTACAGCTTTAACTCTTGTATAGACGGGTTTTCATATATGTTAGTTACAATCAAGTTCTTCCCCATTGCCCAAGATCCTAGAAATGAGGGAACTAAGAGTGTACTCAGGAGCTCAAGAGCAACATCCACAAACAAAGATCAGGGTAGAAGTTAGAAAGGACCCCTGAAAGAGGGAAAATCGGTAATCAGCTTTGTGGGATTTTACTGCAAGCTAGTGAATTATATAAATATAAAGGTTGGTGCAAAAGTAATTGTGGTTTTTGCCTTTACTTTAATGGCAAAAACTGTAATTACTTTTGCATGAACCTAAATATTTTCATGAAAGAATGTGGCTCTGATAATGTGGAGGTTGGTCAGCCATGGAAATAGTCTGAGAGACGCTGCAGTTTGTAGTTGCAAGTGTGTAGGTTGTTGCATTACTTATGATGTACTTATAAATCAAGTATAGGCCGGGTGCAATGGCTCACACCTGTAATCCCAGCACTTTGGGAGGCTGAGGTGGGTGAATCACGAGGTCAGGAGATCGAGACTATCCTGGCCAACATGGTGGAACCCTGTCTCTACTAAAATACAAAAAATTAGCCAGGCATGGTAGCGCATGCCTGTAATCCCAGCTACTCAGGGGGCTGAGGCAGGGGAGTTGCTTGAACCTGGGAGGTGGAGGTTGCAGTGAGCTGAGATCGCACCACTGCACTCCAGCAAGACTCCATCTCAAAAAATAATAATAATTAAAAAAGAAAGAAAGAAAGTATATTTCCTTCATCAGCCTCATGAGCTTGAGTAGTATGAATTTCAGTCTGGAGTGATCCTGTTTTCTAAGTGTCCACAAAGGTTGGTTTCTGTACCTGTACAGTTGAGAGCCAGATGCTCCGCTGTGGTAGAAGTGCCAGGGTAATGAGTTGAGGCCTGTAAACCAGGTTTATTTTGAGGTATTTAAAGTTTGAGACCCAGCCAATGCTTTTTCTAGGTAAATAGGCATACCAATTCTGCTTCTTCTGACTGGAGTATCAGGAATCCCAGCCAACTACGGTTTAAAGATGGAAGGGGTTGGCACTAAATTCTCATGGATGTAAACCTGGAGTCAGGGGCATAAATACAAATAATGGTTTCTCCCTTGGGTTTCATTTTTTTGATCTGGTTTAGTGAGAATAAATCATCATTGTGATTTTCCTCAATCATCCCCTATGCCTAAGCTCTAGAATGGAAAATAGCTTGAGATCAATGAAGTCAGATTCTTACTTTCCATTTAGTTATTCGTATTGCTGTGGACAGCCTCTGTTCCGTACATCTGTCTTCAAGTTGCCTCAATTTTGTCACAGCTTTCTGGAGCTTTTCCTGAAGGAAAAATTTGATCAGTGAAGGCTATTCAATTTGACTCTTCATTAGGGACCTAGGGGGAATCCCAGTTTTCTAAGATATATTTGAATAATAGTGAATATTTATTGAGTCCTCCTTGTTTTTTGCTAGAGAGCATGCTAAAGACTATATGTGCAGGAACATACTGATCCCCTTGGCAACCCTGAATAGTTGGTAGGATTTTAAACATCATTTCTGTGCTGTAGAAAATGAGACTAAGAAAGGGGTAAAATAACTTGCCCAAAGGGCTATGGCTGCCAGCTGGTGGAGCATTGCACCCTCATCTGCTGACCCAGAGCCTGAGCTACACCCTCCACTAGAGTCCTGCCAGGAAAAAGTTATATATAGAACAAGGTAATCATCATCTAAAAGATTTTGTAAAATAACATGCTGAACCAAGCAAAACCAATACCAGTGTTTGGCACACATGAAATTTTGTGTCTTATGAGTCATGAAAAATCAGGATGCCAAGTGATTTGAAGCTGACCCAAATTGCTAATTGTAATCAATGCTAAAAGAATTGTCTCCTGTCCTCTCTAAACCCAACAAGTCTACTCATTAATTCTCGAGCATTCTCAGGAAAGGGCTCTATGTAACTGTTTTAGCAAAAGATGACATTGTCCTTGCTATATGCCAAGTGCTATTATATGCATTCTATATTTTAATGTCCTCAAAGCTTATAACCACCTCCTGTGTGTGTGTTTTAGGGAGGGAGGACACTGCTATTATCCCCATTTACAGATGGGGAAACCAAGGTGTCAAGACATTAAATAACGTGCCCAAAATTGCCCATCTACTAAGTGACCAAACTCAATTTCAACATAAGCAGCCTCCTTTTCTTACTACTTGGTGGAAAAGTAATTCAAATTGGAATATCATCATTGCAGTTATTAGCTGTTCCATGGAGTTTAAGGAAGAGCTGCCATGAGCTGAGTAGGGCTCAGGATTGACATGTCCTTAGAAGGACTTAGAGCCTTCATACAAGACCACCTCTGTCTCATGGAGGACAGAATAAGGAGCCTGACACAGGGGGCAACATTTTCCTCAAATCTAGGCAGGACAGAAAAGGAAAAAGGACATCAGGACTATGCCCATTCCTCCATGCTGCCAACAGCAAAGTCCCTCCTTCCTTAATATGCTTTCTGGCAAGAAGCCTGGATGGTACACAAAACCTCTCCCTCTGCTTCACCTTCCACAACCAAGCATTTCCAAATCTTTTACTCTTCTTCCTGAATCTTGCTTAAAATCTGCCCTCTCCTCCCTTTCTTATATGGATAGTTTGAATTTTACTCCTTGATACTCCTTTTATTATAGACATGCCAGAGTAGCTGGGCACTGTGGTTCATGCCTCTAATCCCAGCATTTTGGGAGGCTGAGATGGGAGGGAGACCAGGGGTTTGAGGCCAGTATAAGCAAGAAATCCAGACCATGTCTGTACAAAAAATAAAAAAATTATCCGGGTATAGTGGTGCATTCCTGTAGTCCTAGCTACTTGGGAGGCTGAGGTGGGAGGATTGCTTGAGCCCCAGGAGGTTGAGGCTGCAGTGAGCCGAGACTGCACCACTGCACTCCAACCTGGGACACAGAGCAAGACCCTATCTCAAAAAAAAAAAAAAGTATAGGTACCAGAGTGATATTTTCAATGTCACTGACCCTTCATTCCCCAAATGAAAATCCCCCAATAGGTGTTCAATTTTTACGTGTCCTTCAAGAGTTACTTCTGAGATGAACCACTCCCTACCCTAAATGTCCCTCCCCACCACCAAAACCAGAGACCTCCAGGCAGACATTTTTGATGGTTTATCTTCTTTACTAGACTGTAGATACCTAAAAGGTAATGGGTCTTTCTTCCCTGTTTGCAGGCCCTACTGCATGGTTTTACATATTGTGGTTTTTCAAATGATATTCATAGTGTGAAGCAAGAAAAAATGTGGGTGTTTGGTTTGAGAACAACCTGTTCTAAAGCAAGGAGAAATTCATCATAACACAGATGGATAGAGATGAGTCCAACCATCCCATTGAAGGTCAAAACGGACAGTCTAGATAATTTAGCAAGAAATCATCATAAACTATTTTTCAGAAGAATGACATGATGAAAGCTGTATTTCCAAACCATAATATTAGGTTTCAGGCTAAATCATCTCAGCTCCTGGGAGCAGGATAAGATTTGGTACTTACCAAGGCCCCCTGACCCACACACTCACCTTGTAGCCCTGGCATACATCTTCAACAAGAGCTGTGGTGTGCCCTTTGTGCTGTGGTGCCCGCTCACAGCGCCAGCAGATGAGCTGCCCCTCGTCTTCGCAGAAGAGGTGGAGCTGCTCTCCGTGTTCCTCACATGACATCTCTTGATCCATCTCTTTGAGGGCTTCAATGAGGCTTCCCAGCTGCTTGTTCGGTCGGAGGCTATCCATGTGAAATGGAGCCCGACACTGGGGACAGCAGAACGTCTCCTGCCTCAGTCGCTTTTGGCTTGGGTTTTTAAAGAAGTCCGTTATACACAAGTGGCAGTAGCTGTGTCCACAGTTGATGCTTACTGGGTTCGTCATCAGGCTCAGGCAGATGGAGCAGGTGGCTTCCTCCATCATCTTCTTGGTGCTGGTGGTTGAGGCCATAGCTTTTATTGAAAAGCTCCAATATTGGCTCTAGAGATGGAGATGAAGCAGCCAGAATTTTTACCATGATGAAAATACACCTCACCTGCACCTCTATGTGATGAGCTGGCTGCTACTGACTTCCATAGGTCTTGAAGGTTTTCCTTCCAACCCCTATTATCTCATTTTGTATTGAAGAAAAGAGGACTTAAAAGGAAGAAGCTGAGGCTGAGTTTGTTTGGGCCACGATTGAGAACTGCAACCCAGATGCAGAGTTTCAAGTTGTTCTCGTTAGCAAGCAGTTGCAAGTGGTTATTTAAAGGAAAAAAAAAAGCAGTTTTAAAGCCGTTTTTAAAATTGTTTACCAAGAATTTACATTAAAATAGCATAAGCTTTTGATTGGCTATACATTGTTCTTTTTATTACAAATCTCAGGAACATGTAGGTAATAGATGAGGCAGCCAGTTAGGAACAAAATGCTTTTAAACATGGGGTCTTAACTGAAGACCCATACTCCTGTCTCACTGGTCCTGATAAATTTTGCATACCTCACATAGCTCAGACTGCTCTAAACTATTTTTCTTTTCTCAGTCTTCTAATTTTTTTTTTTTTTTTTCTAATGAGCCAGAGTCTCACTCTGTCGCTCAGACTGGAGTGCAGTGGTGTGATCTCGGCTCACTGTAACCTCCGCCTCCCGGGTTGAAGTGATTCTCCTGCCTCAGCCTCCCGAACAGCTGGGTCTACAGTGGTGTGCCACTACGCCCAGCTAATTTTTGTATTTTTTAGTAGAGACGGGGTTTCACCATGTTGGTTGGCCAGGATGGTCTCGATCTCTTGAGCTTGTGATCCACCTGCCTCAGTCTCCCAAAGTGCCGAGATTACAGGAATGAGCCACTGCACCCGGGCTCTTTTTCTTTTCTTATGAGACAAGTTCTCGCTCTCTTGCAGTGCAGTGGCATGACCACCGCTCACTGCAGCCTCGACCTCCTGGGTTCAAGCAATCCTCCTGCCTCACCCTGGCAGAGTGGCTGGGACTACAGGCATGTGCCACCATGTCCAGCTAAAGTCTTCTCTCCAGAAAGAAGAAATGCATTAGAATTTAGAGGACGCATAAACGTCTAGCTGTGTAGCTAATACAGTAGCCACTATCATGAATGGGAATTTAAATTTAACTTAATAAAAATTAAAATGAAAAAATTTAGTTTTTCTGTTCCACTTGCCACATTTTGATTGCTTAATAGTTGCATGTGACTAGTGGCTACATAACAGCCTCAATATACAACATTCCGTTATCACAGAAAGTTACCTTGGACCAAGTGCTGGGAGAAACAATGCAGGCTTCCTCACAAAAGCTGTAAAAGAGAGAACTCAGGGAGTGTGAAACTCTTTCCTATTCTAGTCAACTTCAAGAATAATTGGTACCAGGCCGGCACGGTGGCTCACACCTGTAATCCCAGCACTTTGGGAAGCCAAGGCAGGCGGATCACCTGAGATCAGGAGTTTGAGACCAGCCTGACCAACATGGCAAAACCTCATCTCTACTAAAAATACAAAAAGTTAGCTGGGCATGGTGGTGCACACCTGTAATCCCAGTTGCTCAGGAGGCTGAGGAAGGAGAATCACTTGAGCTCTGGAGTGGGAGGTTGCAGTGAGCCCAGATTACACCACTGCACTCCAGCCTGGGTGAAAGGACAAGAATCTGTCTTAAAATAAAAAAGAATAATTGGTACCAGAATTACTCTTTGTAATTGGTAGTAACACTCATGCAATTGGGTGATCTGTGACAGATCCCACTGAAGGAGTATGGGGAGCTTCACCCCAATATATGACTCCCTGGTGTAATGAGTATTTTGAATTAAAGGCCCTTAGAGATCAGCAGATGCTGGAAGAGACTTTTCCCCTATCTACATAAAGGCCAGTCAGACTAGACAAAAAGAACACTTGTTTTTCCTTCCAACCCCTGTTATCACATTTTGTACTGAAGAAAATAGGACTAAGAATGTAACCAGACCTAATCAGACACTTTCACAAAATAATGTCTGTCTCTCAGGCTCATTCATTTTCCAAAGAGAACCATTTACAAGTTAAACTCTGTTCCTCCATTCATTCATTCATCCTCCTGAATATTCATTTATTATCCCTAATAATCATTTACTGCCCCTCAACAGAATTACCTATATTCTCCTGATATCACCCTTCCCCTCTGAAATAAGGCTATATAAGTATTGTATTTATAGATATATAAATATTTAAGGCTATATACTTATATAAGGCTATATAAGTATTTGTATTTATACATATATAAATATGTATACATATATAAATATTATTTATACATATATAAATATATTTTTACATATTTTATACTTATATATTTATACATATATAAAAATAACATTTTTATATTATATACATACATATTTATACTTATGTATTTATACATAAGTATTTATAAATATTTGTACATAAGTATTTAGAATACATAAGTATTTATAAATAATTTAGAATACATAAGTATTTATAAATAAGACTATATAAGTATCTACGCCCATTGGAAGAGGGGGTAATCACTCTGTGATTCTAGCCCATGTACATGTTAATAAATTTGTATGCCTTTTCTCCAATTAGCCTTCCTTTTGTGAGTTGATTTTTCAGTGAACTTTCAGAAGGCAAAGAGGAAGTGTTCCCTTGGCTTCTACACCATCATGACGATCAAATTTGACTCCACCTCGATCCCCCCCACTCCCCACAAAGAACAAAAACCAACACTGGTTAATAAGGTCGGTTGTTTTTGGTTTTTTGGGTTTTTTTGTTTGTTTGTTTGTTTGTTTGTTTTGCTTTTAGGAGCAGAGGTATAATAGGCAAAAGAAAGAGAAAGGAGAATAGTGAATACCTCTCTCTCCTGCAGAGAGAGAGGGGTGCCTAAGTGGGACTTCCCTCGTTAATAAGATCTTTCTAGAGACCCAACCAGGAAGGTAATGGAAGCAATCAAGGCAACCAGAACAACCAGAAGAACTAGTTTATCCTTTTTGTGCCCTCTCCCTAAACTGAGGGAATAAGAATTGGAAAGAAGGCTGCAGAGCAGAGGGTTTGGTCCTAAGGAGCAGTTATTTCTATGGGATCAGAGCTCCTGTAGAACTGGGGAGTTCACTACTAATATCTCTTCTCCAGGACAGGACCTATCTCAAGAGATATGTTCAGAGTGATTGCAACATAAAGAGTTTGCAGACCCAAGGAGGTAGGGAAGACAGAAAGAAAACGGGGGAGGCCAGGGATAGGCAACAGAGGGGTGGCCAGGAGCAAAAAAGCCTGCCTCTTCTGAGAACCTAGCTGGGCTCTCCCTGTACCCCCCATCTCTCCCCCTGCCCGTCCCCACACCCCTACTCCTGAGAGCTGCTCTAGGACAGGGCAGAGTCAGGAGGAAGTTTGAAGAGTAATTCTTCTTTTAAATGACAGTGCCTAGAATAAAAAACAGTAATTTAATTACAGTTACCGGGTAGGCTGATTTCCTGTCACAACCAGATCAGTTTCTTGAAGCCACACAGAATTTCTTCTGATGACGTGTATTCCTTGGCGGGCTACTATACACCAGGCCCCTCTCTGCTAAGGTCACTGCGCTCCTGGGGAGAAGGGGCTCCCCTGCTTCCAAGGCTCCAGGGTTCCTGTCCTGGGCCCCACTCACCTAAGTTCTGAATCTTCTGAGATTTGGTGTAAAGTCTGGTGAAAGAAAGAGCAGGAAAGAAGCGAGAGCTGTAAAACAAAGAAAGTCCTGACCATTTTCAGAGTTGGAGTGGCCCTGCTGTCAGGAAATATATTCCCCACCCCACCTGCCACCAGTACACACTCACATATCCACTGAGAAAACCTTAGCCTGGACCTTTTCCATAACCTTCACTGCTCAGACACTTACATATTCGCTGCTGGTCCCCTCTGTAGCTGCCACTTCCTGGGTCAGGAAGTTAACTCAGACTGGATTAAACTGAGAAGTGAAACTACTGTGGGAGGCGGGGCTAATAAGATTTAGGAGAAAACTAGGGACGTTACTCATATCATTTGCACTCAGCCTCTCCGATAAAGGAGGGGAAACGTAGGGAAAAAAAATCCTTCTTTTACAGCAATAAAAAGAAGGAACCAATTAATAACCCAGTAAACTATCATGTGACCCCAACACAGAGTACCTAAAAACAGGAAGCCTGCAGAGGATCAGTTCACAGACTCTGATTTGAGATCTTTCTACTTTTGCCACCAACTCCCTTGGGAGTCCTTAAGCCTTCCTAGCTGATGTTACTTTTTTGCTATTTCTGGGTTGCTTGTGGTTCTATAACTGCTCTGAAGGGTGTGGTGGAAAAAGGGGTGGTAACAGCAGTAGGACTCACTGGCATCACAAAATTCATCTGAGTCAGCTTTCTATTCTTCTCTGTCCCGTTCTGTGTCTTGTTTTTCTCCTTACTGTCCTTCTGCAGGACTCAGATCTTCTTCAATAGCCGGGGTCAGCCAGGACAGAAAATGGGAGTCACTAATGGCCCAGCAGTGAGTGCCCCCAGCTTAGAGCTGTGTGGGATCCCTGGGACAATCACTCTGCTTTGTGCTCTGGGGAGAAAAGGCTATGGGGTCCAGGGCCAAGTCCTTAATGACTCAGCTCCAGCTTCTCCACTTCAAAATGAAAGGAAAAGTACTATCACTACCCAAGTTAGAATTATTATTTCATGGGGAAAAAAGATGGATTACTATCTTACAATAAGAGCTTGTCACATTTATAAGTCTCAGGTGTAAGAGGCATTTATGATAAGAACATAGTAAATGCTGGCCTAAGTAGATGCGGCTCCTCTAATAAGAGGAGCTCAGGACACAGGTGGGAGGAGAAATTAAACTTGAATTCTGGGCGCCACTGGCCTATCTGGGCCCCTGGCCTGTCTGCTGACCCTGATAGCCAAGGGAACATGGAGTTTGGCCCACCTGCAATCCCTCTGGTCCAACTACTCAAAATAAAGGCAAGATTGGAAAACATGTTCCTTTCTTCCTATACCAAGCAGAAGACGCTTCAGCACTGCACCCTCCTGGATGCTCACAGAGCCATCTGTCATTTTGCCACCTACGATTCATCATGTCCTGGCATGATAGTAGCAGACCCCATGCATAGCATGGGACATTCTACTCCTGAGGCAACCAGCACACACAAAGAGGAGAAAGAATGAGCCCCTGAATCCTTGGTCCCACAATGAGTCCTTGCAGATATCTATGACTTTCATTGCTGTGGATGTGACTCTGTACCCAGGCATGGCTCATTCCAGATCTGTCCTATTGTCAGAGATGTTCGAACAAGAATGACTCCATTTTGAGTGGGGGCTGGGTAAAATAAGGCTGAGACCTACTGGGCTACATTCCCAGGAGGTTAGGCATTGTAAGTCACAGGATGAAATAGGCAGTTGGTACAAGACGCAGGTCATAAAGACCTTGCTGATAAAACAGGTTGCAGTAAAGAAGCTGGTCAAAACCCACCAAAACCAAGATGGCAACAAGAGTGGCCTCTAGTTGTTCTTATTGCTCATTATACGCTAATTATAATGTGTTAGCATGCAAAAGGCACTCCCACCAGCTCCATGGTGGTTTATAAATACCATGGCAATGTCAGGAAGTTACCCTATATGGTCTAAAAAGAGGAAGAACCCTCGGTTCTGGCAACTGCCCACATCTTTCCTGGAAAACATGAATAATCCACCCCTTATTTAGTACATAATCAATAAATAATTGTAAGTATCTGTATTAGTCCATTTTCACACTGCTGAGCAAGATATACCTGAGACTGAGTAATTTATACCAGGAAAAATTGTTTCATGCTCTTACAGTCCCATGTGGCTGGGGAGACCTCACAACCATGGTAGAAGGCAAAGAGGAGCAAGTCAGGTCTTACATAGATGGCAGCAGGCAAAGAAAGAGCTTGTGCAGGGAAACTCCTTCCTATAAAACCATCAGGTCTCTTGAAACTTATTGACTATCATGAGAACAGCAGTATAAATTACTCAGGGAAAGACCTGCCCCCATGATTCAGTTACCTCCCACCAGGTCCCTCCCACAATATGTGGGAATTTAAGATGAGAGTTAGGTGGGGACACAGTCAAACCATGTCAGTATCCTTAGTCCAGCAGCTCAAGCTGCTGCTCTGCCTATAGAGTAGACATTCTTTTATTCCTTTACTTTCCGAATAAACTTGCTTTCACTTTACTGTGTAGACTTGCCCCAAATTCTTTCTCACACGAGTTCTAAGAACCTTCTCTTAGGGTCTGGGCCGGGAGCCCCTTTCTGGTAACACTATCAAAGGATCAGGAAAAGGAAGCTAGTGAATGCTAAAAAGGAAACAAACTACCATTACCAATAATAACAACAGCAAAACAAAAGCAAAACGGATTGTGACAGCTGTCCCCTCTCACACCTGTTTCCCATTGCAGGAAGGAGGGGCTGGTTCATGCAGAGAGTGGCAAATATTAGAAGCAGAGAGGGGGTGCAGATGAGACTTCAGGAATATGCTGCCAAAGGCAGGCCTAGGGAGAATTCAACATGATTTCTATGGAGGAATGATTCCTATGGAGGAATGCATTATCTCCAATATGTAAAACTAGGCCTGATCCTGTGATTATGGGATACAGGAGTCCAAAGACTCACAGTGGGAAGTAGGTCACTAGAGTCTCCTTCAGAAGCTCTGGACTGTGTGTTCCCACTGTGGGGAAGAGTCAGCACTCAGCTATCCCTAGAATGCCTTTCCTCAACTCCTTCAGATTTTGCCTCTCAACCAACCTTATCCTGACCACTTGCTAGCAAGTGTACCCCTCTCTCCCTCCCAAACCTTCTCAAATCTATTTTGTTCCCATGACACTTATCACTGAATGTTTTACTAATTTATTTTGTTTATTATTTGCCGCCCCCATGAGAATGCAAATTCCATAAGGGATGGATTTTTTTCAATATTGTTCACTGATGAATCCCAGTGACTAGAATATTTCTAAGCATAGTGATGTGCATTAAATGAAAGAGTAACTTTCTGAGTTGCACTATACACACATCATAGGAGGTATATGCACACTTGTGCATGATGTATATGGTGTGGTGTAGGTGATGCGTGGGGTATGTGGTACTGTGTGTGCTGTGTGTGGTATGTGATACATAGTGTGTGTTAGTGCGATGTATGTGATGTGGTGTGTGTGTGTGTGTGTGTGTGTCCATGCATATTAGGGGTGGCAGGGATGTTAATATGTCAAATGGTACTAGAAAGTATCAGAACCCATGGTGCTTACTGGTTTCCCAGAGAGCTGCTTCTCTCCCTCCTGTAGGATATACTGATGGTTTGGACAGGGAAGAAATAAAAAGAAGGCTGTGACCTACTGGGCTGAGGAAATAAAAAGGAAAGTAAAAGAAGAGGTGGGAAAAGAGAGTGTAGGGGCCAAGGGAAATTTCCCCTTCAGCTTCTGGGGAAACTTTGCTGAAAAATCAACTCACAAATTTGTTAACACGTACACAGGGAGAACCATAGAATGATTATCCACTTCCCAAGAGGGCCTAAAAGCTTATATATCATCCTGGCAAAACAGATTATGGGAGGAGAAGAGGATAAATTCTCTTGATGGGATTACTGTTGTGGATTTTTGCTCCTTAGCTCAGCTAGGTCCGGGTTCTCATCTCACAACCAGGAAGAATTAGGCACGCGGCCATCAAAGAATGAGTGAAGTAGAATTTATTAAGTCAAAGGAAAGCTCTCAGCAAAGAGAAGGGTCCTGAAAGCAGATTTCTGGTTTGCCCTTCACAGTTGAATGCCAGGGCTTAAGGCTCAAATTCCTGGCAACTCCACCCCATCCTCCCAGTGCATGCAGGCCTTTAGACCGAGCTGCTCCATATTGATTAATTTCCTGAACTGCACATGTGTTAAGGAAAGGAATCTTCCACTGTGGGCATGTTTAGGCAAGCCCCCTGTGCAAGTTCCCTTATCTGCACAAAACATTCGGTGTAAGCACTTGTGGGGCAGGTCAGGGGTTCTCTGGGGACCATTCCCTTACTGTCTGCCTAAAGCAAGCTGGCCAACTCCTTTCATTACTAAGGAGAGTAAGTAGATCAGGGAACAAAGATTAACTTGAACATTATCTTGTGAAAGTCTGTTCAGGCATAGTTACATTCTTGGTCTTACAGGAAGGGGAAATAAAAATAATTGTTCTTTTTGGTGGATCTGGATCTTAGGTAGATAAAGAAACTTTAATTCTATGATGTGTTTTGGGAGAGATAGTTGGTGGCAGGAATGTCAGAGAGACTTTTAGGCTTCTTCAGTTCAATATGACCAAGTGCCATATTTTAGGGTATCAATTTCTGAGCCCCAACAAAAGCTTAGAAGAGATGTGATAGCATCACAGTGTTAAAGCAATTTTTTGTTTGTTTGTTTTTAGAAACAGGCTCTTGCACTGTCACCCTGGCTGAAGTACAATGGTACGATCACAGCTCACTGTAATCTTGAACTGGGCTCAAATGATCCTCCCATCTAAGCATTTCAAAGTGTTGGGATTACAGGCATGAGCTGCGATACCCAGCCTGAAACTACACCCTCGTGCCGATAAACTTTTCAAATGACTAAAGGGGAGAGAGTAAGCACTACTCAGAGGTAGGAAGAAAGGGCACAGAATTATAGGATTAAAACAACCACCACCACCACCACCACCAAAAAAACCAGGCGGGGTGTGCTGGCTCACACCTGTAATCACAGCACTTGGGGAGACTGAGGTGGGGAGAATCACTGCAAGCTAGGAGTTTGCGACCAGCCTGGCCAATATAGCAAGATCCTGTCACTATTAAAAACAAAACAAAACAAAAAAAACACCTGCCTTGAGCTAATCAGAATGATGGGCCTGACAAAGGACGTCCCAAAGTAAGTCTCAGCATTTT